TGCATGCACCCTAGTCAGGAGACTGACCTGCAACCTAGGCAGGTCCCCTGACTGGGAATCGAACCCACTGCCCTTCAGTTTATGGGACAATGCTCCAACTAACTGAGCCACACCAGCCAGGGCTGGATGCTTCTTACATTGACACTTATGAGGTGGGTGCATGACTCTCCCATTTTAGAGACCAGTAAAGTGAGGTGCTAAAGTTCTCTAAGCAAGTGAGTCTCAGTAAGTCTTTGCATTTCCCAAAGAGATGGGAGAAAGGACAGTGACCAGGAGGATGACATTTAAAAGCTCGCTAATACAATTTTTGAAAACGGACACATATGTATGGAGTAAAAGTCTAAACACATCTGTGGAAACAATAACGCCAAATTCAGAGTAAGGCTTACCTTGGAGAAGGAAGCCGTCGGATCTAGGAGCCATGAAAGTTGAGGCGTATTTATAATGTTTTAAAGCTGCGAGCCAGCATTTGGGTACATGTAGTGTGTGTGTGTGTGTGTTTTATTGAGTAAAACACTTGCAATATTAGATTTACCACTTTAAAGTGTACAATTCAGTGGCATCCAGTATATGTGTCATGTTGGGTAACAACACCCACTATCTAGTTGCAGAAATTTTTCATCACCCCCAAGCGGTCACTCTCCACCCCCTTCCTCCCTCCAGCACCTGGCAACCAACAATCCGCTTTCTGTCTCTACAGGTTTGCCAGCTGTGGATGTGTCTTATCGGTGGAGTCAGAGATATGGGGTCTTTTACAGCTGGCTTTTCGCTTAGCACAGCGGTTGTTGTCTGGTTGTTGTAGAGATTCACCCACCCTTGCAGCCTGTGTCAGGCAGTCAGTCCTTTTTTTTAATCGGCTGAACAATATCCCATTGTTTGGACAGACTGCACTTTATCTCTCCATTGGTTGGTGGACGTTTGGGTGGTTTCTACCCTTTGGCCTTTGTGAATAGTCCTGTCGTGACATCTGGGCTTAACGTCTTTTGTTTGGAAGGCTGTTTTCAATTCTCTTGAGTATCTATATCTATGTCTATATATCTATATCTATATCTATATCTATCTCTGGGGGGGTATGCGTGTTATTTTATCATCCAGATTTTAAAGGCTTGCTTTTTGTTTGTTTGTTTGCTTGTTTTGAAACAAATTCAGGAATGGAGGGGACAGGAAAGAAGGTGTCAGAGAGAACAGCAAGGTGTGCGTGTGTTGGGGGAAGCCAGAGGTTTTGGATTGGGGCGGCAAAGGCTGCGCCAGCGACTGTGTCCGGCCTCCCGGTCCAGGCTGAAGGCTGGGCGCATTCCTGGTGGACTGAGAAGCCATTGAAAAGGTTTGAAGCAGGAGAGTCACATGATCCGATTAGTGTTCGAGAGAAATTCCTGTGGGACCCACGTGGAGGCCTGGCCGGATGCGGGGGAGATCGAGGCTGGAGCAGGGAGAGGGCGGGGCGCGCGTCCAGGTGAGAGGGAAACCAGCCTGGGCTGGGAACCGGGCTCTCCACCACGGGGCGGGACCTAGCGCTGATTGGCTCAGACGTGCACCGTTGGATGCCTGTCTCGCCGCAACTGCCTCCTCATTGGCTCTCCTTCCCTGGCAGTTCCATCACCTGGAGATCACATCACGTCACTCTTGGATGGACACCCTCCCCCGGCTCCCACTCTTCCCCCGCCCCCTCCTCGCTAGCTCCCTAGAAGGCTCTGCAGCTCCGGCCCCTGGGGCCTCCCTCACCTGATGTGTCTCTCTCTGCTTCACTCTGCTCCAGCCACCACACCGCCCCGGGCAAACTTTCTGGATTCAGGGCGTTTGCACGGGCCGTTCCCCCTGCCTGACAATGCCCCTTTCCTATATTTCTCTTACTCCCATCTGGCTAAAATAGGCCCCCTGTCACCGGCTAGCTCGTACTCTGCTTTTATTTTCAACAGGGTACTTCTGGCCAAGAAGCATTAGGCTACTTGTCACTGTCCACTAACTGCCTATCTCCCCTCCTATTGAAGTATAAACTCCTGGGGGTGGGGGGAATGTCGCTGGGCCTCCTGACGCCATAGCATTTCCATGACAACGCTGGCCCTCTTCCATGGGCTCGATTCTCCAGGTTAAGCCGGTACCCGAATGGGCGGGGCTTGTCCATGGGGCGATGCCTGTATCTAAGAGGGCTGGTCTTGTTTCTCCAAGGCAGGTGGGTTTTTGCATTGTATTTTCTTTTTAACCCCAAGGGGATGAGTCTGAATCCTGGATCCTGGGTGTTGGTGGCAGAGTGGAGAGGACCTAGGGGCTTGACCTGGGTTCTTTTTAAATGGGTAGTTGCAAATCTCCATAAAGTCTTCCTTGAAGACCAACTTAGTACTTGTTTTCTCCCCCGCCAAATACATACATATCCCCTCCTTTAAAATGTTTTTCCTTGTGAAATATATACACATAGATTAAAAGTTACCGTACAAATGCAGAATTGAACAAATAATTATAAAATGATCCCCAGGTTAAGAAATGGAATGTTGGCAGTCATTCTAGAGCCCATAGAAGGTTCTGGCATGTTCCATTCCCAGCTTAACCTGTGCACTCCCACTATGCTGAGTTTTGTGGGAGGAAAATGTTTTCCTTGTTTTCTTGAATGGTTCAGTGCTCACAATGCATCTTAAGCAATACATACTACAGTTTAGTCTTGCTTGTTTTTTTAAAAGACTTTATTTATTTATTTTTAGAGAGGGGAAGGGAAGTAGAAAGAGAGGGAGAGAAATATCAATGTGTGGTTGCCTCTCTCACACACCCCCTACTGGGGACCTGGCCCACAACCCAGGCATGTTCCCTGACTGGGAATCAAACTGGTGACCTTTTGGTTCACGAGCCTGCACTCACTCCACTGAGCTACACCAGCCAGGACTAGTCTTGCTTGTTTTTAAATGTTGCAGAAATGCATCTGGCTTCTTGTGTCCGACATCTTTGTGACTCTCATTTTTGCAGTTATGTGTATCTGTACATATTCAATACACCATCATTTATTTACCCACTGTATTGTTGCTGAATGTCTTAGTCCGCTTGGGCAGCTGTAACAAAATACTACCAACTGGGTGGCTTGTAAACAACAGAGGTGTATGGCTCACAGTTCTGGAGGCTGGAAGCACAGGATCAAGGCTCCACCAAGGTCACCCTCTGGTGAAGGCCTCCTTCCTGGTTCATGGCTGGTGTCTTCTGGCTGTGTCCTCACCTGGGGCAAGGGGTGAGGGCTCTCTCTGAAGCCACTTCTATAAGGGCACTAATCCCATTCACAGGGGCTCCACCCTGCTGACCTGAGCAACTCCCAGAGGCTCTACCTCCAAATCCCATCATGTAGGCATGAAGTTTTCAACTTATGAATCTGGGGGGAAACTCCGAACTGCAAAGCCCATTGCTACGGTCTGGATGCAAACATTCAGACCGTAGCAATGGGCTTTGCAGTTCGGAGTTCGGGGCTGACCATTTCACTGCTGTGGAGGTTGTGAGATGTATCTCCTAGGGCTGGGGAACATGAGTTTCTCTAGAGTCCATGCCTAGCAGTGGGATTACTGCATCACAGGCTATACACACCTTCAGTCTTATGAGATCGTGCCAGCCTCCCAGGCATCTCACATCTGAGAAGCTCAGGATGGAACTTTCTTTAAAAAAAAGATTTCACTTATTTATTTTTAGAGAGAGCGGAAGGGAGAAAGAGAGAGAAACATCGATGTGCAAGAGAAATGTTGGTCTGTTGCCTCTTGTATGTGCCCCAACTGAGGACCAAACCAGAAACTTAGGCATGTGCCCTGACCGGGAATCAAACCTGTGGCTTTTCACTTTGTAGGATGACACCCAACTGAACTGAGCCACACGGTCAGGGCAGGATGGAACTCTTGATCCCCATTGCCTCTACCCAAGCTTGTCCTCCTCTAGTTTTCTGGTCTTAATACACACCCCCCCCCCAACCAATTTCTCCCAATTCCCCCCTTCCCATCACACACGTTCTACCTCCAGAACTCATCTCGAATCCACCCATTTGTCTCTGTCACTCTGGTGCAGGCCCCCCTGCCTCTCTACTGGCGGACCAAGGTGGTCTTCTGCTGCCTCTCCTCTGCCTCCCTCAAGTTCATCCTCCACTCAGCAGCCAGAGGGGTCTTTGTAAAGTCACGTTTAGCACCTTGCTCACCCAGGAAGTACAATCATGTGCCTACTTGGGCCCACCAGGTTCCGTGGGACCTGACCCCGACTTCCCTCCCCACCTGTCTCACCCCTCCCTCCTCTAGGCCCATAGCCCTCCTGGGCCCAACCAGGCTCCACCTGGCCCCTCCTTCCTCACCCCCCCCCCCGTCTTGGATCAAATGCCACCTCCACGGGAAGCCCACCCAGACCACCCCGCCGAAGGTGGTGGAGTTCAGCCACTCCCTTCCCTGACACCTTACCTCATTCCCTTCGGAGTGCTCACCACTCTCTGAAACTGCCTTTTTCGTTTATTACTCTTTCCGTACCTTGTGGTCCCCACACCAGGCTACCAGCAACTCCACAAGTGGCTTTGTTCACCGTTGGGTCCCCAGAGGGGTTACAATGCCTGGCATGCAATAGACACTCAGTACGGGAATGTACTCTCACTCCCAGGAGGCGATCTGAAGGTCTGCCCATTCTCTGACCAGTGGACCCTAGTCTGGAGTTGGAGATACCTCAAAGAAACTAACTCAGGAAGCAGAGTCTAAGGTAGGAACTTGTCTGAAAGGAGACAGTTGGGTTTTTAGAGGGCGTGGCCCACAGGACTGATAGTCTCAGAAGGACCCATCTGGTTCTGGGGTGGGGGACATGTTCACCTTTGGAGGTGGGTCTTGTGTTTAAGGGGCAGGGTTCCAATTAGATGACATGTAAACTATTTCAGATTTTAGGGGGTGGGCACTCTCTCAAGGACTCGAAGTTCCTCGGAGGGCTCTGTCTCCATTTAGGGGGTGTGTCCTAAGTCAGGGAGGGAGAAGTCCCCACCCCCTGGAGCCCGAGTTCAGACGAGGAGGCAGCGCTGACTGACAGACAGGACGAGGTTTATTGGGAGTCCTGGAGACACTGGGGACTGGGAAGAGGGGGTGAGGTCGAGGCTCATGGGGAGGTCCCCCTAGCCAAACCCTCCTTTCCCTTGGTGTTGGGAGGAACACAGAGACAGACAGACAAACTGACAGGAATGGAAAGACGGACACGTTCTACAGCAGAGCAGGAGGGAGACTCCGGTGTCCGCCACCTCCCGCTCAGATGGGTTCACAGGACGGGGAATGCCGCAGGAGAGGGGTGGTGTGTCTGCCCTACTCACTGCGGGGCGGGGGCGGGGCATGCCACAGCCCGGGCCAGCCCTTGCAACTGGACAGGAGGGTGTGTACCTGCATCAGTCCATCCTACTGGGTGGGGGGGTTTCCAACTGGCCTATTCTAGTGCTTGGGGATGGGGAAGGTCATTAGGGTTGATTCATTCTGCAGTAGGGGGGGCCTACTTGGGGAATGGGTTGAGGGCAGGGGGCGTCTGCCCTGGTCCTCTCTCAGCATAGGGAATGAGACAGGGGAAGGCAGATTCCGGCGCTCCCTGTTCCCTAAGGGCACCAGTGACAGATGGGTAGCATTCGGAGGGGACCCGGGGAAACATAGGGGCATGGTTGCCCTACGTTCTCCAGATCAAGGTCCTTAGGAATGATGGCTCTCAGGGAGAGGCAGACTCCCCTTGGGGGAGGGGTGCCCATCTTTCATGAGGGCCCTTAAGGTGAAAAGTACCTGTGGAGACCCATTTCTCACCCCTCGGCCCCCCCCTCCGGCCTAGAGGCCTGTTAATTAGGGGGCACCCAGCACAAGTTCCAGGGAGGCCTCAAGCTCCAGTCTTCATAGACCCCGGACCCCCAGCAGAGGGCCCCACCTCTCCAGCCAGGGCCCCTGAACTCAGGGTGCATGTCTGGATTTGGACGGTCCCCTGGGGGCCCTGAGTCCCATCTCGCCAGCCCCAGGGCCCTTCAACTTAAGGCCCGTGTGGGGATTTGGGCAGTCTCCCCGGGGGGCCGTGAGTCCAGTCCCGGGCCGGCCAGCGGCACAGTCAGTCCATGCCCCGGTGCAGCTTCAGGTGCCTGGAGAGGTTGCTGAGGGTGATGAAGCCCTTGCCGCAGATGTGGCAGGGGAAGGGCCGCTCGGTGCCGTGCAGCAGCCGGTGGCGCTTGAGGTAGCACTCGTGGCGGAAGAACTTGCCGCACTCGAGGCACGGGAAAGGCTTCTCACCCGTGTGCACCAGCACATGCCTCTCCAGGTCCCGCGGTGAGCGGAACAGCTTCTCGCACTCGGAGCAGCCAAAGATCTTCTTGCCGCGGCCGGAGGTGGACGCCGGCTCCCCTGATGTGGGCTCTCCCTCAGGGGCCGCCGTGGACGCCTCCGCCCCGCCGCCTTCCCCGTGGCTGGCTCGCCTGTGCTCCTCCAGAGCCGACAGGGCTGCGTACAGCGCTCCACAGTGGCCGCAGCCGTAGGTGGCCGGCCCCGAATGCGCCTCCAGGTGGCTGGCCAGCGCTGCCGCCGAAGCGAAGAAGGTCCCGCAATCGCACTGGTACAGTGTGTCTTCCGATGGCTCCGCCGCGGCTGCAGGAGCAGGGGCCTCCCCGCCGCCCTCGGGGAGCAGCGTCCCCAGCTCAGGCACACCACCCCCTACGCGGCCAAGGAGCAGCCCGCCGTCCCAGGCTGGCCTGGCGTCACCTGCTTCCGCAGCGCCACCCTCTGCGGGGGTCTCAGGCCCTGCAGCAGCCCCCGAGGCCCAGACCTGCGCTGGGGGTGCGCCTGGGCCCTGCAGGTCGTGGGTTAGCTTGTGCCGCTCCAGCAGCGCGGGCGCATTGAAGTCGCGCTCGCAGCGCGGGCACTTGAAGGGCTTTACGTCGGTGTGTGCGGCCCAATGGGCCGCCAGCTCACGGCCATGGTCAAAGCGCCGTGCGCAGGCACCACATGCGAATGGGGGCAGCGAGGCAGCGGCAGCAGCAGCAGCGGCCTCTGCCAGCCCCCAGCTGCCGGGGCCCGCCCCCTCTGGGCCCTCTCCACTGCCAGCACCCGCGCCCCCGCACACGGAGCAGGGCCCCACGTTGCAGCAGACAGAGCAGGGCGCACCCAGGGCTGGAAGCCCAGGCCCCGGCTGCAGGGGCGACGGGAGCACGCCGCGGTGCTGGCGCTTGAGGTGGCGGCCCAGACTGGAGCGCGAGGAAAAGCGGAGCTCGCAGACCAGGCAGCAGTAGGGCTTCTCGCCAGTGTGGACGACCTGGGGGACGGGAGGGAGAGGAGTGGATCAGGGCTGAGGGTCTAGCCCGCAAGACAGACTTCTGGACTCTTAGAGAGAGGTAGCCCAAGCCCCCTGCCAGGTCTACAAGGCCGTGATCTAGCCCCAATACCCTCCCTCTCTTCCTCTGCTTTGGGCTAGGCTGGCATGCCCTTAGTCCTTCTGGCCTCAGCACCTTGGCACACACTATTCCTGAGGAAGAGAGGTACTCTTCCTCCCATTGCTCCTGACTAACTCTTACTCAAGTCCAACAAGCCCACCTAGGAGACTAGGACTTCCTGGGAGAGTGGCTAAGCACTGAGGATCTGAGCACTGGTGGGCCTGGGTTCAAATCGCAGCTCTGCCTTCCACTTTCTGTGAAAACCTGGACAACTAATGGCCTCTCTCAACAAACTTTCCCATGTGCTACGTATCTCCCCCAACCCAGTGGAGGGGCTTTGGTAATCACCTGGGGTAGGAGGTGGGGTTCTCCCTGCAAATGCTGTGGCAACTTTGACAGCTGAACCATTGAATAGAAGCCTCTGCATTTTCCATTTGATGGGAACAGTCCATTTCTGTACTTGCTAATTGGTGAGCACTAGCCACGCATGTGTGGAGCGCCTGAAACATGGTCAGGTGGCAGAACGAGACCACCTGACCTTGCACAGGCCTCTACTAATGTTGGCCCAGACACGGCTTTTGAGTGTACAGTTCTGTTGATGGTAGTGTCTTCCCAGAGAGCTGTAGTGTCTCTCGTATTAGCCTCAGAATACAGTGACCCTCTGTCCCTGTCTCAATTTGACATTTATTAACCTGGCTGTTCAGTGACTGAAGCCCCCGCTAGACTCAGGGCTCTGGGAGGCCACGGAAGGAGTGGACTGTGTCCATTTTGTCTCTGTCCTTCCCGCCCCAACCCCGCGCCCAGGACCCTGCAGACCTTAGATACCCATTAAATTCTCAGTTGAATTATAAACTACTACTGGCCTGCAGTGAGACCTCAGAGGGCTGTGAATGTCACATGAAGTTAAGGACCAGGGGTTTCAGTGGGAGGGAGAGGGTTCCAGGCCACAGAGGCTAGACATGATGGGGAGAGACAAGAGGTAGTAAGACTGCTTAGAAAGTTGGGGGCCAACATCCAGGCTGTGAGGTCCTGAACCAAGGCAGATGCCATGAGACAGAAGAGGGGACAAGTGTGAAAGGCCGGGAGGCATCTGGTTTTGCTTAACCTTGTCGCAGGAATGCCTGGCCCATGGAATAAGATCCCACTCCTCACAGCAGCAAGGAGGTGTACGTGACTCAGCCCCTGCCCGCCCTCTGCGTCAACTCCTTCTGCTCTTCCCCAGGCTCGCTGTACCCCAACCACAGGGCCTCCCACCCCCTTCTCATACACACCACGCCCCTCCCATTTCAGGGCCTTTGCCCTTGCTGTTCCCTCTGCCGGAAATGCTGTTCCCGCAGCGGATGCCTGCTCCTACTTCAGGTCTCAGCTCAGAGAGCACCCTGCCCTGGCCTTCCCCACCTTGTCTGGTGGCCCTTGGCTCTCCCCACTTCTGCACATCAGCTTGTTGTTGTTTAACTTCCTTCCTAACACTGCTCCCTTTCCAGAACATTCTTGCTTGCGTATTTGCTTCCTTGTTGATCGTCTACCTTCGGTGGAATGTAAGTTTCTCCAAACACTAGGACTTGACTGATTTCCCTTTGGAGACCCCAGTATCAGGAGCAGGGAAAGCTCTCAACAGACCATCGCTGAATAAAAGAATTAAGTATATACGTGGTAAACCTGTTTTTAAAAATGCACGGGAACAATGAACACGAAACTTCAGAGGCTGGTGTGCAGGGGCACGGGGTGTAGGGGCAGGTGGTGGGATAGGAGAGGAGCCTACAGGTGGGACACGTGTACTGATCCCTACATAGGTGGAGACTGAGAGAGAAAGCCCCAGTGCTTTGACTGGTCAGGGCACTTTGGCTGGGAGTGAGGAAGAGGAAAAAAGTTTTCTCTGTTGCCCAGAGTGGGGCTGGGGCTCTAAGGGCGCGTCCAGCCCAGGGGGGCAGCTGGATGGGCCTGCAGGACTCACCTGGTGGTGCAATAGGCCAGTGGAGTCTCGGAACCCCTTGGGGCAGGCGGAGCAGCGGTAGGGCCGCTCACCCGTGTGCGAGCGCAGGTGGTTGGCCAGGTTGAAGCTGTGCTTGAAACCCTTGCCACAGCGTGGACACGCGTGGGGCTTGAGAGCAGTGTGACGCGCGAAGTGGCGCCGCAGGTCCGAGCGGTAGCGGAAGCTCTTGCCACACTCACTGCAGTGAAACGGGACGCGGGGGGCGGCGGCGGGCGGTGCTGGGGCCGGGGCCGGGGCAGGGACAGGGGGCGCTGCCAGTGGGGCGTCATCCATGGTGGCGTGGCGTGAGGGCAGTTGTGAGTGGGGGGCTCTCTGGAGCAAGGGAGACAGTGAGGGAAGGTGAGGGAGTCACCTCCCCTTAGTCCTCCCAGGTCACACTCTAGGGACTCAGACCCCCCACCTATCCCCCTGGAGCCCTGACCACTAACCTTTAAGCCACTCCCACCAGGATCACGCCCACTGTCTTTAAGCCCATTCCCCTACAAACCCTTCTCCCACTCATCTGCTCATCTACCTAATCACACCCAGTCGCCTTTACCCCAATGATTTGTCTCACCCACTCTTTGAGATCAGATTCCTGCTCCTCTAAGCCCCACCCACTCTTGCTCAAGTCCCGCCTACTCTGTCCCAAGTCCCTCAACACAGTTCCAGGAGCCTCTTCTATTCCTCGACAAGCCCCTCCCATTCCACTGTAAGCTCTTTCCACTCTTTGAAGATTCAAGTCTTGGAACCTCAGATAAAACCCACTGAAACTCTTTTCACTTGCAAAATTCGGATGATAAGAGGACCAAGCTCTCTAGTGGCAGTTATTACTACCCACTAAGTTCCTCCAAATAACCTCTTTAAGTCCTACATCTTTTCCCCACTAAGACCTACAGCCAAACCCCACTCAAGTTGTCTTTAAACCCAGCCTTAAAGTCAGCCCTGTCCTTTCCAAGACCCGGACTACCCAACACTTCTCACTTTCTCAACCCTTCCGAGTCTCACCCCAGGCCTCCTAAGTCAATTCACCTGTATTATAAAGACTTGCTATTTCCACTAAGACTCCCCAAATTATATGCCTAAACCGCACCCCCTCACTTTGTCCACGTTTCTCTAAGCCACGCCTCGGTACAAACTCCACCCCTTCTACTCTAAGCTCCTCCTGCCTTTACACTAAGCCCCAATTCCCCTCACTCAGCTCTAATTAGGACCCTGCGGCCTCGAGTTTTTCTACCACTTTGAGCCACGCCCCTTTATCAACCCCACCCCTTTGCTTAAGCTCCTCCCATTTCCACCCACAGACCTGCTCCCTCCAAGCCCCACCCATCCTACCCACAAACCACGCCCACCGACTCCTCCCAATCATTGCTCCGCCCCCAGCTTCCATTAGGCCCCGCCTCCTCCCCACCCAGTAGACGACGGGGCCTGCCCCCTCCCCAGTTCGCTCCAGGACCCAGGCGCTCAGAGCTGGCCTTTTGTGCCCCTCCCCCCCCCGTTCCTAAAAGGTGCGGCCCCGGGCGCCCGGTGTGGGGGCAGGCTAAGTGGGACCGCGGCCAGGCGAGTCCACCTCGCTCGTACTGCGCTGGGGTTCTGGAGCCATAGGGCGGCCGCGGGAGGCCAGGAAAGTCAGTAGGCTTTCCTCTTTAATTACTTACACCTCCCTCTGGGCGCCGACATTTTGGGCAGCGGGGGTAGCGTCACTTCCACCCGGGGGGCCCCTCGACTTCCGCCTCAGCTACCTTTCCCCCGTACTCCCCCTTTCTCCCGCCTTCTTGGCCTCCCTCCTCCCAGCCACCCGCCCTTCTCCCTCTTTCCCGTCTCTTTCCCAGCACTGTGAGAGAAGCTAGATCAGCGCCATCTTAGGTAAGGGCAGGGAGATGGGCGGGGCTCAGGGTGACCCTGGCGCCATACAGATTAAGGGCACCAAGTTCAGCGTGCCGCCTTCCCCCAGCGGTGTCGACGCTGGCGGGCGAGGGCAGGTCCGAGTCCATTTTCGCAGCCTCAGGCTCCTTCTGAGTAGGATGTTAGAGTTGCATCAGGAGAAAAGAGAAACCAAAGTCCTCCTATTGCGATAGAGATAGGAGGAAACAGCAGGCTCCATCTTGTCCTCGGCCCTCCAGGAGGCATTGAAGCTTATCAGGCGCCATGTTAATTACGGGAAGGAGCAGCCATTTTCCCATTTCTCATCCTTTAGGTACCCGTGTTTGATTGGGTCTCCGACTGGGTACTTTGTGGAAGGAAAGGCATTTCTACCTGGTTGGGATGTGTCGGTGGGTTACTTCCCGCTCGGGGCGAGCTAGTGCGCAGTGAGCGCAGGTGCTGATGTTAGTGGCCCTTAGGGCCCAGCGCGTCCCTTTGTTCCCAGCGGGCGCGGGTCCAACGGGGTGGGGTAATGGGTGGGGCCTTCGCCAGCCGCTCTGAGGGGCGGGGCTGTCCGTCGTGCGCGCCACCGCGGGGCTGGGCCCCTTCTCCCCCGCCCCTTCCCATGCGTCGGCCCCGTAGCCCCCCGCGCGCGCACACTCTCGAGCCCTGGCGACATGCAAATGAGGTACCCGAGAGGAGGGGGTCCGGGCGGGGGAAGGGGAGCGGAGGGAGGGGAAGGCTTGGAGCCGCGCGCTCCCAGAGCGCGCCCCCAACACCTGCTCCTGCTCCCGCGCTCGCAGCGGCGTGCGCTCGCCGACCTCGCGCCCTGCGGAGCCGGCCCGGGCGCGCGCGCTCGCGCAGACCCCCTTCCTGGTGGCCCCGCCGTCCGCGGCCCGGCGCCGCTCATTGGCCGCCACCCCCACAGGGCCCGCCTTACGCGCTCGGGGGCCGCCGGGCGCACGTCTGCTAGTGTTCGGGCAGAGGGCGAGGGTCGAGCACAGCTCCGGAGTCCTTGGTTGTAGTCCAGGTACCCCCACCGGAGTGAACCTTGCAGTCCTGGAAAAGTGTGTGTCCCGCCTCTGGGCTTCCGCTTGTTCGCCTGTTCCAAGGGGGCGCAGTGGCACCTGTGGCCTCTGCGCCTAGCTACACCTGTGCTAACTCCCTCTCCCCTAGTTCCCTGGTCGGAGCTCTGATGATGATGGCGGTGGTGGTAGTTTGTCGAGTACGTACTGTGAGCCAACGGTCAACTCTGGCATTTCCATTTCACAGAGCTGCATTCAAACACAGGACCAACGGACCCCATGATGTCCTCTTGTCCCGAGTCCCTTTCTCCTCATTCCCTGGGCTATTGTGTCCGCGTGAGATCTGGTTTGAATCTTAGCTCTGCCACTTCCTGACACAGGGAGCTTGGGCAACTGACTTGACTTTCTTGTACCTCAGTTTTCCTATTTGGAAAACGAGGGTGATTGTGATCTTACTCAGAGGGCTAATGTTTCCTAAGTGCTCTGTGTACTGAGCACTTTATATGTATTGTCCTCATGGCATGTTCCTGCAAGCTGGTGGGACTATTCATCCAGTTTTGCAGAAGGCTTAACTGAAGCTTAGGAAAGTGAGCACCTTACTCAAAGCCACAGAGAGAGTGACAGACTGAGGAATCGAACCCAGAACATCTGACTCTGGAGACCAGACTCCAATATATTTCCTCACCGACTCTGGATCAAACATCACCTGGGACCAGTCCCTTTCTTCTTCTGGTCCTGAACCCCTCACCCTCCCGCTTCTGCCAATCAAGAGAGCGGACAAAAACATTTCTCAGGCCTCTATGGCTCTGGGGTTTGATGGACTGTCTGCTTTAAGGATCACAGTACTGGCCTGTACCCTCAGTTGGACTCTGTACTCCCTTCAGGATTTTTCTTTATTTTGGCTCAAATTGACCTTGAACTTCCAGATCCATGGCAGGGGTCTGGGAGGCCTGGGGAACACCTGTGAGGCTCAGGGCAGTATGTTAACCAACTGGCACAGAATTCTCTTGCTCTTTTCCTCACCAGCATCGCTATAATTGTGGATCCAGGTAAATGTCAGCCATGCCCAGCTTGTGAGACCCAGACAAAGGAATAGGTGAGGTCTTGGGGGACAATGGGTTCTCCAGACCTTCCCTGCGCTGACAGCTGCTCTTTCTCTCCTCTTAGCCCGGCTCTGGTGCCCAGACCCAAGGCCCCCACTGCTCAATGGACACCCCTAGCCCAGACCCGTTGCCTTCATCTTTGCCTGAGGAAGAAGAGAAACCTCTGGCCTTACCTCCTTCTGTTTCCCGGAGCCGCCGAGGCGGACGTGCTGGGAGGGCCACCTCCTCCAATCAGACGCTCAAGGCCTGCCTCCCTCGAAAGCGGGGCCGTCCCCCCAAGTCAGGGCAGGAGTCCCCACTGGTGCAAGGGGTGACGGTCCCTGTGGGCAGTGACAGTGGCAACGACCTCCTGCTGATCGATGATCAGGGAGTGCCCTATACGGTCTCTGAAGGGTCAGTAGCTGGCGGGCCTGAGGGGCCCGGCCCTAAGAAGGCCCCGCACTTCTGCCCGGTGTGCCTGCGGGCTTTCCCCTACCTCTCGGACCTGGAGCGCCACAGCATCTCTCATTCTGAGCTGAAGCCACATGAGTGCAAGGACTGCGGCAAGACGTTCAAGCGGTCCAGCCACCTGCGGCGGCACTGCAACATCCACGCCGGCCTGCGGCCCTTCCGCTGCCCACTCTGTCCCCGCCGCTTCCGTGAGGCGGGTGAGCTGGCCCACCACCACCGTGTCCACTCCGGCGAGCGCCCCTACCAGTGCCCTATCTGCCGGCTGCGCTTCACAGAGGCCAACTCGCTCCGGCGCCATGCCAAACGCAAGCACCCCGAGGCCGTGGGGGCACCCGTGTGTCCCCTGGACACAGGGTCTGAGCCACCATGGGATGATGAGGGCATCCCAGCCACAGCAGGGGCTGAGGAAGAGGAGGAGGAGCTGGAAGGGAAAGAGCCGGCCTGACCCACAACCCCAGCCACCCCTCCCCAGGTCAGGTTTAGAGCTGGGGGTTCAGCTGGTGCTGCGCCTGGGCAGGGAGCCTGGGACACCCTCAGGTCTGGTGGTCTCCCTGTTGTGGGAGGGGGTTGCAGGTAAGGACCTAAACTTCCGGGCCCTGCTGCCTTCTGCCACCCACTCCTGGACTGACAGGCCCTTGGAGGCAAGAGCCATGGAAATAAATCACTGCCTTCTGGCTTCCTGTGTGGATTCAGTGATGGTACCAGGGCTGGCCCTTCTCTATTCCTTTCAGGTACCCTTCTGCCACTATACTACCCATGGGGGTGCATGGAGTTTGGGAGGGCCCCATGTCATGTGCCTCATTAACTTGGTGCTAAAGAAGTGGCTTGTGGGGAGCCTTTGTCCCCTCTCCCACCTCTAGGAGACCCCAAAGCACTCTCCTAAATATCCACTCTAAGTAAAATATTGAGCGTTCTGTGTAGATGTGACTCGAGGTGTCCATTTCCAGCCAGATTCCTGGAAATTCTGCAGCCACCACTTTGCCCCATCTCTTTGTCCTGACCCTGTTTGGAAGGAAAAACTTAAGTTGGTAGTCCCTGGCAGAACTGACAACTTTGCCTTAGGTAGGTAGGGGGTGTGGACTGTAGGGACCTGCAAAGGAAGTAGGAAGTGGGGGCTGGGACTGAGGCTTATTGGGCAGGTAGATGAGGACTGTGGGCGGGGCTTAGGGGAAGGGCTGTATGAGCTGGGGTGGCACTCAAATTGTTTTAGGGACTGGCAGCAGAAAGTGAGCGATTTAGAGGAATGGATAGGGTTTATCTGAGGGGAGGGGCTTCAAGGGGAAACTAGGAGAGCAAGGTGTCAGGAGGGGTGGGAATGAACTGTTAAGATGCTGAGAGGTGGGCATGACTGCTGTTCAGGCCAAAGGAAGGGGTACCTAAGAGAGGAGTGACTAAGGGAATCCCTGAAAGAAGGGGAGCTTAGCAGGATGGGCTAAATAGACCTGGGCTTAGCTGCTTTGGGTGGGGCTGAGTTAGGGGCGAGGTTTGCAGAGATATACGAGAGGGGCAGTGACAAGTGTGTGGTGAAGCTGTGATTCTCACTTCAGCCTGCATTAGAATCACCTGGAGGGTATTATTATTTATTTTTAGTGGACGTATTAGTCAGGCTGCAACATAGTGATTTGGTATTTCTATACACTACAAAATAATCACAGTCTAGTTACCATCTGTCACCATACAAAGTTATTACATTATTGAGTATATTCGCTATGCTGCACATGACGTCTCTGTGACTTCTATATGTTATAACTAAAGTTTGTACCTGAATCCAGGGTTTCTGATTCAGAACGTCTGGATCAGGGGACCTGAGAATTTCCATTTCTAACAGTTTCTGGGGTGATGCCTCTGCTGCTGGTGTTTGGACCATAGTGTGAAAACCACTGTTTTCAGAGAATGCTTTAGGAAGTTCACAGGTTTAATGTGATCACAA